CTGGACAAGGCATGAAGAGAACAAAGATCGATAGTTACGACGACGTTAAAAAACCAACCAGCAACCTCATTGCCATCGGGTCAAGCCAACTCATGGTGGCCCTGTGGCTGAGGGCTTCGAACTGCTGACCTTACAGGGAGCAGCCCTGCGCATAACCACTGCACCAGCAGGGCTCCCGGTGTGATGATGCTGGGGACGTAGATGCCGTCCACTGCCAGGAGACGGGGCCAATTTATACAGGACAGTCGGCACGCTCCTTAGAAGGGAGGACGGCAAGACTCTCACACACTTGGTGTCAGTCCCCTAGGGGAGGGCCTTGGTGAAGAGGAGGGGCAGCCCAAAAGAGGAAGACCTTGAACAAGACAGACCCACACAGTAGCTGCAACCACACGCTCCATCTCAGCAAGGATGGCGAGGCTGGCCCGGGACAGCTTTCTTCTGCTTAGTCTCACCGAGTTACAACGGCCTTACCGCCAAATGGCAGCACAGACTAAAGTGGGACAGCAGCTCCCCACTAGCCCCAGGGGCAGAAAACGGAGGTGGGTACTATCTGTCCCAGGAGTCACAAAAAGGTTAAAAGTCAAGTAGGGGGAGGAAGAGGGTAAGGGGACAGTAGGGGCTCTGTTATGGAGGATACTCACGCCAGGTGGCAGGGACTCATGGGTAACACGGGACTGCTAACAGGGTACAGAAAGGGCTTGGGGATATGTGATATAAAACTTCAGCTGTGATGGGTGCTAGCACTTACACGAGTGTTAAAAAGATAAACAGTGGGGGACCATCACAGTAAGGAAGAGGGGTGCCCCACTCTGTGCAGGGCTTTGGGAGCTCACCACCCTGGCAGCACATCAAATCAAAGTCAGTCAAACTTTAATGGGCTACGTGTGACAAAGGCCTAGAGCAAACAATTCACTGTCTTACCAGAAAGTTGTTATTTTAGAAAAATGAACAAAATCGGGCAAGGAAGCCAGCTTCTCGAGGCTGACAGGACAGAGGGCAGGCTGGCACTCTGGACTGCTTGAGGCAATCAGCTGCACCTGGAGTGGGGACAGTGCCAGGAGGGGCTGCGACAGACCGCCGCGGGCGCTCTCCTTCTGTCCCCCAGACTTAACTGGATGCATCGGAGTGGGCACTTCCCAGGTCCCCAGCGGGTGACGTGATGGACAGTGGGGGGGTGGCCCCCCGCCAGCTGCCCCTGGGCTGGAAAGAAATAATGGCTGTCAAGGGTGGCGCAGTGGCAGTGACTCTAGACCTGCCCAGCCTTGGCCCCCTGTCCAGGCAGGACCTCTAGGACCAGGGCACCCAAGACTTGGGCTCTCATCTGCGTCTCAGCCTCTCCCAGGTAGCACTGCGGCGCCTCTGACAGCGGCCCTGTGGGGCTGTGCAGGGACCGAGGGGGCAGCAATGTGGCTGCTGGGAGGGCCGGGGGTTAGGTCTGTGGCCCACAGGAGGGTCTGCTGGAGAAGGGCTCTGTGTGTCGTGCTGTGCCCCAGGTCTGCAGGGACAGTGTGACTTAGAAGTTTGTCCAGCACATCCAGGCTAGACCTGGTGCCAGACACCAGGAGCAGACACCACTGGCCCACCCCACCCACCACGGTGGTTCTGAGGTTCGCAGCACCCATTGGCGAGTTCCCACACCTCGCCCTCGCCAGCACCAGGTGGTGCCCAGTGCCCAACTGGCCAGCAGCCCCAGGTTCACCCCAATGCTGCACGGGTAAGGTGGCTGAGTGTTGCCGACACAGTCCTGCTGTGACCTCTGGATGGCAGGGTCACAGGCATTGTCTCGGGGGTGGGCCACTGAGGAGCTAGAAGGATGCCGAGCTGGCTGGGTGTAGTTCTGGCCAGGGATGGGATGGGCCCAGGGGTGAGTAAGGCAGGGGGACCCAGACCTCCTCCGGGGCCTGCGTCAGGGTTCCTGGTGCTGCCTGCTCTGAGGCCGGTTGGGGCCTGGCTACTCTCACGTGCTCCACCCCGTGGCTTATGATGGGCAGTGGGGATTCTGCAGCAGCTGGACAGCAGGCGAAGCTGTCCTGGGCCAGTGGGGGCATGCCACACCTGTGGCTTTGCACATCTTCCAGAAAGCCCAAAAAGGGTCCCCCGACTTCCCGATCAACACCTGAACCCCACTCTCAGCCTTCCCTGCAACCACAGTCCGGTCCCTGGGGCCTCAAGAGCCCCGAGGACTGCAGGGGGCATGGGCTCCGTATCTGCCACAGCCTGCCGGGCCCTGCCTGTTTGCCCACCACTTCCTGAGGCCATGCCATGAAAACCTGAGGCTCCCAGGGCACAGCAGATGTGCCCTCAGCCCTCCTAACTGGCTGGGTGGGGCTGGGGTGAGGACCTTCGGGCTCAGAAGAGGGGAGTTGGGGCCAAAATATTGCTTCTCCCTCCTGACCCCAACACTGTCCCGAGGGCAGTAGTTCTCAACCTTCCTCACGCTGCCACCTTTTCATACAGTTCCTCATGCTGTGCTGACCCCCCAACCATAAAATTATCTTCGTTGCTACTTCATCACTGTCATTTTGCTACTGTGATGAATCGGGAGACCCTTGTGAAAGGGCTGTCGACCCCCAAAGGGGTTGCGCCCCTTGGAGGAAGAACAGCCTGTGCTCAACAAGCAGGGGGGCCTGTCCCGGCAGGAGGGAGGAGCGGCGTCTTCACTTGGTGCCCAGGGCCCCAGAGCTGGCTGCCGGAGGGAGTCTTCACCCCACAGACCTGCCCCGGGGGCGGCGGTGGGCTGGCTGAGGGCTGGCGTTTTGACCCACCTGAGACTGGGACCTGGGCCCCATTTGGAAGGGCTGGTCAGAGGCCAGTGCCTGCAGGCTCACAGAGGCGTCCTCAGGACAGGTCAGCGAGAAGGTGCTGGAGGAGCCTGCAGCAGTGGAGGGCGTTGGGACAGTGAGTCAGGGAGGGGGCAGGGCTGGGTTCCAAGTCCCCACCCCACCGCTGCCACTTCACGGGCCTTCCCTTCTCCTTAGGGCAGACGCCCCCATCCCCACAGCAATGGGCTGCCTCGGATTTGTCTCCACACCGAAGAGCAGAGCTGGTGTGGGGAGCCCAGGGGCTGTGCCAGTGTGGCCAGGGCTCCTCACTCACCAGAGCTGGGCGTCAGGGGGCAACTGGCTTGGTGCCCAGGGCTCCCAACTTTGGTGGCGTCCACTGCCGTTTTAGACACGTAAACGTTAGCCTCCTCTTGAAACTTCCCCATGTTCTTTTTATACCGGATTCTTTTGTTGCCAAACCAGTTGGAGACCTGAGGGCACATGGAAGGCACTGGAAGCGCTGCCGTGGCCGCAGGTGAACGCATCACGGGCGCCCCTCCATGTACAGGCTCTCCAGGGTCACTGCGGACACCCTGGGCTGGCAGGTCTGCTCTGTACTGTCTCCGAGAAGAACCTGCTGGAACCTGGGGAGGCCAAAGCAGCTGGGAGCATGACCACCGTCTGTGATCGGTCCGAAGAAATGACCGTACCCTCCCTGCAGGGGGCGGCAGCCAAGGGGATTCTGGACCTGCTCCTAGGAGCCCCCTCGGAAACCCAGTGGAAGGAAAGCCCGTGATTACGGCCAACATCGACCGAGCAGGTGTGACAAGAGGGCATGCTGGAGGTGGCTGGAGGGTGCTGGCACAGAGCTAAGCAAGTGACCTGGCCTCATGCTCGGGTCTAGGAAGACGCTAAAAGGATCGGGTCCCAGGGCAGGTCCCCGTTCTTGGCACTGCCAGATCCTTCTCTGTCACAGGGCGGTCCTCTGCACTGTTGGGTGACGGACTGCATCCCCAGCCCCCAGCCTCAATGCCCAAAGCACCAACCCAGTCATCATGGCCACTGATGTCACCCAGGAGGGAACCCCTGGCCTTCCTAAATGCAGGCTAGCCACACAAGGCTGGCTCTCTGTGAAGTGCCCCCTGAAACCCCACCCACGTTTCATGGGCCAAATCAGAGAGGTGAGTGACGGCGGCAGAGGTGGGGATGACCTGGTTTCCTTCACATTTCAACCATTAAAAGGAAAAGCACTTGTGTGATTCCTGTTCCCAGAGTGGAATCTCTCCCCTGCCTGCTCCCGGAGTATGAGCGGTCTTCCCTTGCTCAGCTTGGGATAGACGCTTGTTCCCCACTGACCTACAGAGAAGGCTGCAGGGCTTCTTCGTGGCATTACGTTTATGTAAACGAACACAGCTAAAGTCCAAGACGGGTTACAAAACACCCTTCCATTCTGAATCCATATGGGATTTTAGAGGGATGAACTCTCTACCTGGTGAGTAGGGGCTGGAGAGTCAAGTGCTTGAAGGGCTGGTCCCAACCACTGCCCGTCTCTGGATGGAATGCCCCCATGGCAGCTCCGAGCCAGGGACCCCCACCCCGGCCCGTGTCTGGCAATGGCGGTCTTCCCCGGCCAGTGGGCACCACCAGCTGTGGCTGCCCAGGCAATGGTCTGCAGCCGTGTTCTGGGAACCGTGGACACCCCGTCCTGCAATGGTGCGTTCTTTCCCCTCTGGACCTTCTCCTGAGGTCAACCTCACAACCTAGATGACCTCTGCACCCCAAATGGCAACCGCTTGGGGTGTTCCAGCGTCCTGGTAGTACATGGGGAAGGCTCGGCTGCTAACAGCAAGGGCAGCTGCCCCGCAGAGGACCCAGCAGTCAGCGTTCCTAAGAAGCGTGGGGGCCACCCTGTGGCTCCCTCGCTTGCCCTCTGGGACAGGGTAAACTGTGCCAGGGGGCTCCCGAGACTGAACTCTGTACAGGAGCGGGCAGCCTGCCGTTCTCCCAGAAACTCTGTAGGGCACCCCTATTCCGCCCTGTAGGGCTGAGGAGAGTCAGAGTCATGTGGTGGCCGGCCTTCCAAGAAGAGAACGTGACTGTGGATACATGATCCCCCATGCATCCCCTCCAGGGGTCTTCACACTCCCTGCGCACACACTGCCCCCTGGGGGGTGCACTCACCCTCACACACATCCCCTTGGGGGGGGTCTCCCAAGCTCCACACCTGGAACACACATCTCCTGGAGGCCCCCTGCTCCATGCCTGTACTCCAGAGGGGGGAGGAGAGCAGCCTAGTGGAGCCTGCAGAGCTTCAGCACAGCGTGAGGGGTGTCTGAGCCCAGGCTGCTGTGACGGCGGGGAGCTGGGCCCTCGGCTCCTGCCCCCTCAGTTCATAGCCTGAGTGACTCCCCAAGGGGCCCCCCTTCCAGGAGGAGCCAGGGCAGGGCGGGACCTTCACCTGGGAGACGGTGATGCCGCCCTTCCTGGCCAGCTCTTCCTTGGCTTCTTCACTGGGGTAAGGGTTGCTCAAGTGGGAATAGAAATACTCATTCAGCACTTCCGTGGCCTGCTTGCTGAAATTCCGCCGCTTACGCCTGCAAAGACAGGGGGCCCCCCGACCAGGGTTAGTCTGCTGGCACCCTCCAACAGTGCCCCCCCTCCCACCACAACACCCCGAGCAGCAACCAACGCTTCCTTCCGGATGCCTCCCCGAGACATGGCGGGTCACGATCCCAAAGAGTCGGCCCCAGGCTGCAGCCAGAGCCCCTGGCTGGCCTCCCATGCTACCCCTCCACGTGGCGGGGCCTGACCTGGCGTCCAGGAAGCGGGAGCGCAGGGTCATCACGGCCTCGCAGGTGCTCTGCTTCAGCTGCATCTGAATGGCCCTGAATTTGCCGTGGATGACGCCAACCATGTGCTCCATCTCCTTGGGGGAGACAGGTCGCACCCTGCTCTGCTCCCGGAGGAGGTTGGTGACGTGTGTCGTGAACTCACGACAGGCCTGCGGCGGGGACACAGACAGCCCGCCCGTGACCACCGTGCAGGGTGGCATGGGGCAGCAGCTCCACCCAGAGCAGCCAGCTGCTGGCCCCCCGGGGCTCACACACGGGTTGGGCGGGGCATGGAGAGAGTGGGCTTGCCGGCAGCTGGGCCGCCTTTGGGGTGAGACCCACTGCGAGGGCTCCTTGCTCTGTGCCACAAGAGAAGGCGGTTAGCCGGCCCACGGTGTGCTCGGACAGACGCGCATTCAATGATAGAAACTCTTCCATGCAGAAAGATCACCTGTTCATATTTCTCTAGCTCAGAGTGGTAAATCTGTCGGATCTGGGACAGCTTGGCCCTGTAGTCAGAGTGCTCAATGCTATTGTCATTTGGACAGCCACCTGGTGTCGCTGTGCCGGCCACCGCCGATCCTCTTCTTCCCCTCCTCTCGGGCCGGGCGACGCCCTCAGCCAGCAGCATGTTATCTAGCCTCATGAGCTGAGCGTCCGGGGGGTCCTCTTCCTGAACGCCACGGATGCTTAACACTGGGGAAGACAGGGGCCACATCAGTCTGTGCTTGCCGGGGAGAAAACAAAACCCAACCCAACAGTGGCCCTGGTGTCCCGTCTGAATATGCCTTTCATTTTATGACGGAATGACCCACTGCCACACTGGCCCAGGTGCTAGAGTCCAGAGGGATGGAGAGGCAAGGTCACAACTCAGGACAGCTGTGTGGGGAGCACTCCACCAGCAAAGGTGGGAAACCACCAGTTCAGGAATAGGAAGCATCATCAGGCAGGTCACAGAAAGGCAAGAAGCAGTCCAGGTGGGGTAGGTAGGGTAGATTATGGGTTGGGCTGCTAACCACAAGGTCAGCAGTTCAAAGCCACCCCTCAGGAGAGAGATGAGGCTTCTACTGCAGTAAGGAGTCACAGCTTCAGAAACCCACAGAGGCAGCTCTACTCCGTCCTCGAGGGTGGCTAGGAGTCCAAGCGGACTTGATGGCAGTGTATTGGGGTTCGCTGTCAGGAGAGCACCGTGAGCAGCTGCAGGGCTGAGTGGCGGAAAGCTGCTAGGAAGTTCCCAGTGAAATGTCTGATGAGTGACAGGCAGACACTACGGAGGCTGGGGAGAAGGGGAGAAGGTGATGGTGCAGATAGGTAGTTTGCTCTCTCAATGCTATCAACCAGGCCCCCTGGTGGTGTCGTGGTTACAAGTTGGAGAGCAATCTGCATGGTCGGCAGTTCAAAACCACCAGCAGCTCCGTGCAAGAAAGACTGGGGTATTTACTCCTGTAAACAGTTACAGTCTCAGAAACCCACGGGAGTGGGGTGTCACTATGAGCCAGCATTGACTGGACAGTTGAGTTTTTGAGAATGCTACTGTAGTTTTATGCAAATAGTGCATAGACTGTATATTTCTCTTGTAATTTCCCGTGTGAATTCCATGCATGTGCACCTTGTTTGGGACAAAGACTGGGTGGACTTGCAGTCTAGGAGGCCCTCAGGGGCAGTTCTAGCCTGTCCTGAGAGGGCACCAACTCGACGGCAGAGACTTTGCGTTGGCTCTGCACATTGTTTAGGTGGTGACTCCATGTGGACGATAGGGTAATCACGGAACTGACTTCAAGGCCTAACTGTGGTCGTTACATAATCTGTTCTCAATTGGACACTTCAGAGTGAAGGGGTGGAGTTTAGCCTGTCAATCTGGTTGCAGCTTGATGACCTCATATGGAGGCGCTAAGGAGATAAATAGCTTCCTGGAGGTGGGACACATGCTCAGTCCCTGGGAGACATTGTGGCTGACAAGACACCTGGAGACAGGCTGACGGCAGTCAGAGCCTCGGAGCTGGAGAAGCCACGTGGAGACCCCTGACAGCGCTGAGAAGCTTAAACACCACTGGATCCACAAGACTTTCTACCCACAGGCGTGTGATCTTCCTGAATTCGCATTATTGCATGGCTGCGTGAGTCTAAGGAGGTATTGATGGACTAGGATTGGACATACGGGCTAATATCAGACTGATGGACTTGATCTGGATTGGGCTGGGATGTTCTCAATTTACAATTGGTCTTTTATATAAAGCTCTTTCTCACACACCTATGAGTGTCTATGGATTTGTTTCTCTAGTCCACCCAGACTAACACACTAAGATTTCGGTTTCGCCATGCTGTTGCTTCTGGGAGGTGCCATCTCATCAGTTCAGATGCATAGCGACCCCTATGGGCAACGAAATGAAACGCAGTCCTGCAGCATCCTCACAACTGTTGTGTTTGGGTTCATTTCTGCAGCCACCGTGTCAGTCCATCTCCTTGAGAGTCTTGTACTTTTGTCACTGACCCTCGACTTTCCAGGGACTGGTCTCTCCGGATCTCATGCCCAAAGGACGTGAGACGCCGTCTCTCCACTCTCCGTTCTACGGAGCGTTTTGTCTGTGCTTCTTCCACGGCGGAGTGGTTTGTTCTTCTGGTACTTCATGGGACTTTCAGGAGGCTCTGCCAACACTGCCATTCAAAGGCATACATTCTACAGTCTTCATTTGTTGTCCAACTTTCACATGCATATGAGGTGATTAAAAATGCCACGGCATGTGATCCAAGGATTGCTGAATCTTATCATCCAAATCTGAAGGAGGAAATGGGATCAGGGCTTAATTCTGAACGCCCGGTTTACAGAAGGCTCTGGATGACAGTGGAGGCCAAAAATCCATTTGCAGGGTCCACACACAGATCAAGCCTCCAGTGAATCCCCTCTGACCATAGTAGAGGAGCGTGAATAGCCTTGTTATCAGACACACTGCATTGTAGAGACGAGTATAGGCGATATAGTCAGGTTAAAATGCAATATCTTATTTGATCTCCCTTTTGACCCATTTAACAGTTGTTTCCATTTAAGAAGAAAAGGTAAAAGAGAAATACATATGGACGAAGCCTCTGGTGAATTCCCTCTGAACAAGACCAGGAATGTGAATAGCCTTGCTATGGCGCAAAGTGCATTGAAAAGTGGATTATGGCAGATGTAGTTAGGTTAAAGTTTACCACATTATTTGATCTCCCTTTGGACTCATTGTAAAGTTGTTCTGGTTTTTAATATTTTATGCTTTCTTTTCAGTTGAGTTTTCCCCTCTATTTTATTTTGTTGTTAGTTCTTTTGTTTAAAAAAAAATTTTTTTTTCTCCAAAAAATAAAAATTTCTTTTCGTATGCTTTTTGGTATATAAAATCCAGGAGGAGTGAATCTACACAGATAGTAACTGGATCAATGGTTTCCTGGGGGTACGGCAAGGAAGGTTTGTGGGAATGGGGTGCTAATAGTGAGTCCATGAAAGAAGAGGCTGTTCCAACAAGGATTGTGGTAATGATTGTACAACTCTTCTTCATATTACTGAACTGCTGAATTGTACGATATATGGATAATGAGCCATAATAAAGCTGTTTAAAAATAATAAAATTATCATGCTAGCTAAAAAAAAAAAAAAATACCAGGGCTTGGTCGGGCACGCCTTAGTGTTCAAGGTGAACTCCTTGCTCCTCAGCACTTCAGAGTTGGGCAGCAGATCTGGCCAGTGCAGTGAGTCCTTTCATGCTTGGCTGGGCTTCCCTGAGCATGGCAAGCTCAGGCTTTTCTCCATGCACATGGTGTTCCCTTTGGTCCAGTTGTGGGAGGATTTGGGTCGTCGTTACATGGAGTTGTAATGCATCCTGAGGGCTGCACTCAGGGATGCTCATCAGCAAGTGCTTTACCCCTTCCAAGAGCTAGTTTACCCACATCACAAATATATTTACAGTCGTTACTCACCTGTCCCCTCCATAGAAATGCATATTTTCTGCCCAAACCCCTTAGTCTAAAGCAGTGGTTTTCTCAACCTTCCTCATGCGGGGACCTTTTCACACAGTTCCTCATGTTGTGGTGACCCCCAACCATAATATTATTTTCATGGCTACTTCAGCACTGTCATTTTGCTAGTTAGGAATCGGGCGACCCCTGTGACCGCCCCCCCCAAGGGTTCGCGACCCACAGGTTGAGAACCGCGGTCGAAAGGGAAGGCGCTCAGGAGACATCCTTGTAGGAATGTCCACCTAGAGAACATACAGCCCTTCCAAGGGGAAGACCTGGCATCCTCAAGATCTGAGCCCTAAGCTGACACCTGGCACGGAACAGCAACACTAACAACAGCGAGATGCCACAGGGAGACCCCGCCCATGTGGTTCCCTCTGCTGCAGAATGAGCTGGAAGGTCACAGAGTCAACTCGGGCTGGGGACCCCAGGGCCCAGGGCCCAGCCAGAGCAATGGCAGCCACCCAACCCATCAACAGATCTGCCTCAGATGAAGTACAACAAGGAAGCATCCTACGAGGCAAGGACGTCGAGACTTCGTCTCCCGTACTCTGGACACACCTTCCTTGCCAGGAGAGACCAGTCTTTGGAGAAGGACATCATACGTGGTAAAGCAGAGAGGAAGGCCCTTGGCATGATACACTGATTCAATGGCTGCAAACACGGACTCGAACAACCTAACCACGTCTGGGAGGACGACACAGGGTCGGGCAGTGCTTCCTTCTGTTGTACACAGGGACTCTGAGTCAGAGCGACTCAGCAGTCCCCAACAACACACAGTCAACAACTACCAGAGGGATCACAGTACGCCCATGAATGATGTTATCAACCATCATCCTCAGGGACTTTGAATGGCATTCATTGTAGGTGTTTTCATGCTTTATTTCTACAATAGCCAATGACCACAGCTGGTAGCTTAAAATAACCCATTTAGTCTCTGAGACACGGGTCTTTCTAAGCTAAAATGCACACGTCTGCAGGGCGAAACCTTCTCTTGGCCTTTTCCAGCTCTAGAAGCTGCCTGCCTTCCTTGGTGTGTGGCTGTCTGCTATCTTCAGAGCCAGCAAGAGCAGGTTGAGTCCTCCTTCCGTCCCTCTTTCACTCTTAAGGATCCCCGGTGGCTACCTTGGGCCTCTGGGTGATCCAGGATAATCTCATTTGAAGGTGAGCTGATTAGCAACCTCATCCCCCTGCATGTAAGCCACCCACAGTCATAGCGTCCAAGGGTTAGGGTGTGGCATCATGGAAAACAAAACAAAACACAAAAATAATCTCACGGCCCTCGAAGCAATCGCTATGTGTTGGGCTGCTAACCTCAAGGCCACCAGTTCGAAATGACCAGTTGTTCCACAGGAGAGAGAAGAGGCCTCACAGACAGCTCTAGTCTCAAAACCCCACAGGGGCAGTAGACCCTGTCCTCCAGGGTGGAGATCAGTGGATTTCTTGGGCGGAGGGGGGTGGTCATTATTTTGCTGATCATGATACCACACTAGGTGACTAAAGCCCACGAAAGAACTGTGTCAGCTCAGGCTAGTGTTCTGTGAGCGTACGTGGTGTGTATGTGTGCGTGGAAGGGTGCATGGGGGAGGGCGGGGGATACGAGAAGCAGGAGAGGGACAGAAACCAGACAGACGTTTGCCTAGAAAACAGACTGGAGACAAACACAGGGAAACGTGCACCAAGTTCTTCCCTAGAAGGACCCACATGAA